GCAACTCCCTTCATCAAGTTCCAGCTGCAGGAATCAACGTGTATGGCATTAGCTGGAGAGAAGCAGCCAAATGCACCAAGACTCACACAAAACCAGCTCCTGTCATTAAACACTGGTTCAGTCATTTGCTAAGAAAGGTTCACTGTGGTACTACATCACATTTGTATCTTTGGAAGCTTAAAAATAGTAGATGAGAATTATTTCAAAACCTGGGAGAATTCAGGGCTAAAGTGTTTGTGTAACTACTTTTCTGGTGGAAAGACATAAATAACAGTGTCAGAAAATGGAGTATCTGCGAAACACAAGGTTAAATTCTAATTTCATGTTCATTGCCAAAAAGCCAGGCTTACTTTAGCTACAATTATTTTTACCTGTACACACTATTAATGAGAATATCTGTCTAGACAACGGAAATCACCTCTTCCACTCATAAAGCTGTGAAGTACCCATCCCAGGAATACAAGTAAAAGCAGAAGCAGAAATAAAAGATGGCTGAGAAGGCTGCATCTGTGAAGTTCTGGATCTTATCTGAAAAAATCATAAGTATGCAACTGATTGGCCAGGAAAAAAACTATTAAGTACTCAGAAAATATATATTTTTAGTATTTACTAAAATTGTGGATAGCATTTGAAAAACTAATGAATGTATATCTTTGCTGGCAAGCTGTTTCTTGATAGCAAAGATATAAATTCATTCTTTTTCAAATAACGAATGAGTTTCTCGCTAAAACAACCAGAGGGAATGCAATCAACCTTAAATAATTGACACTGGATTTTAGGTCTAAAGTTCCCTTTACTGAAACATGTCCCGTTTCCTCCCACAACCTAGAAGGCTATAACTTCTAGCATATCTACAATCAGTGAGCACTTCTGCCCCTCTCCAGGTATGAGGGAGAGGGATGCTGTCTGTCAGTGTGTGCCCAGAGCACTGTGTCTACCCTGTTTCCTTCCAGTGACTGGACAGGGGGTTGTCCATTTGCCTTGCTTGTGCCTGCTCTACTCCGGGTGAAGGACAGCCCTGAGCTGAGAAAGCCAGCTGGAGCCTGGGTGTATGACCCAGCAGGCAGGAAACCTGTGGCGAGGGCAGATATTAGGAGATGCCTGAAAGAAGCACAAAATGGCAGAGTCAAGCCTCTGAGGCAATAGAAAAATTCTTTCTTAGAGACCCAGAGGCACCAGGGGCGAGGTTGTGCAAGACAGCTGGGACAATCTGACAGTTTGCTGCCACCAAAAGTGAGTGTTTCATGCTGCTTCTAAAAGCTGGGGGCATCAGACAAACACAAGAGCTCATGCAAAAGAAGGGGCAGACAACTATAGTCAGAAAAGGGAAGTAAGCCTAGCCTTTGGGGCAGCCATTAGCTCAAATTTCTCAGCAATATTCAGCCTGTGTGGAGCCTGCTGCAACCCAAAATGCCACAAAATGTTGCCAGACTGAGGCAAAAAACTGTGAGCAGAAAGCAGAATTGCTTAAAAGGTCTGCTCTATTATTATGTTCTCACTCAGAAGAAACTCAGTTTCTGTATTTTACGTGCTGATTGTCCTTGTTTAGCTAAACTTAAATGTAACCTTAAGAAGTTTACAGCCCTCTGGGTGATTACGGTCTGTCCGCTGTAAAGAAAATGTCCAGGTAGGCTCACCTCTAAGCTTTGGGCAACTCAAGGTCCTTTCACAGCTAGTTTAAAGAGATCCTAATCTAGATTATTTGGGATGAAAGAGGCCGGGAGCAGCACCCCAAGGAAATTTGAGGGAGCAGTTGTCTTTGGCAGGGATAAGCTGAAGGCAGCAATAACCTATAGAATTGTTGTTATAGTTGCAGCTGCAAGAGAATATGTGTCCACAATCTCTGTAAACAGCACTTTATCACTTCATATCCAGAAACGTATAACTAGCCCTCTAAAGCCTACATACAATCTCAGAAAAGACATTTTGCACAGGAAATGGAAAACTAATCTGTATGAGATTTCTACTAACAACAGTAGTTTCAGATTAAATTGAAGATTCACCTTAGCCTTGCTTTGAAAAAGCACGAGTGGGGCAGGACATGAGGTTAATATTATTCTTCTGGAAGAGAATTTTTTCATTCTCTTTAATGGAATTCGAAGCAAATATAAAATAAACATTTTACTATAAACAGATAGTTCCATGGACTATAGATAAAACTGAAAAACAAGCAAGAAAAAATATGAAGAGCTGTGTGTCTCACGAAAGGGCTGTTTTAATACAGTCAAGGTTTCCATTCTGTACACCCATAAGCATACATGGACTGAGAGGTCTGGAGAAGGAGATCCTTTAAGTAGGGTTGGGTAATATCAGCTGGGAAACTATAAGATATCACAAATCAGAAAAGACTGAGGTATCTGTAGAAACAAATGCGAAACACTCTGGAATGACAAGGAAATACAATTCATCAGTTTCTAAAAAAAAAAAAGAAGGAATCAGTCAAAAGTAACAGTGTTACAGACCAAAAGAATTTAGGTCTCATCCAAGGTTTTTACTGCTTTTCAGAGGTGTTTCTGTGCAACCATTACATTGCCTCCTAATGACCAAATCCAGTTTCAGCCTTTTAACCAACAGGAGAGTCTGAGCTCATCTCTCCAAGTCATATTACTGTAATTTCTATGAGAAATGTTGTTTTAGAAGCCAGAAGCCCTTTCTCCCTGTTGAGCTGAAAGTTAGGTTGCATCTCTCTCAGTTTACTCATCATTCACCACCACACCATCTAATTAAGTGGGTTGAATCAGACACTGAGATGCATACTGCCTTCTTTTATCTAGATTGCTTTTGATATCACCATGTAGGAAATAGTAAAGGGCATGTATTAAGGAATAGATTAAAATGTTGCAAATTCCAAAATTATGGGGTATGGTGGCTTGCCTTTTTTCATCCATGGAAGCCCAGAGTTAGATGAAGTCCTACTCTTCTTGGGAATGAAAACCTACAAACCCAGAATCATCAGGCTCAAACAAACACACATCTTGGTGCAGAGCAGTTTCACATGGGCAGTTCTTGCACTGAAGTTTAGAAAACCTGACTTAGAAGCAGGCTGTGAGTGGCCCATCAGAGCCGAATCTGCAACACATTATTTGTCTCAGGGTGACGTGGGGCAGGGCCTGGTCATTGCCCCAGCCAGGCGCAGGGCAGCCGGGGGCACAAGGCCAGCCCCAGCCCCAGGCATTGGACACCTCCCTGGGGACATTGATGGGCTGAGGATGGGCCAGGATGTGGTCCTGTGGATGGGTCCAGCTTGGCAGGGCCCATGGCCAGACAGAGCA